GATTTCTCGCTTTCTGTGTCTCTGTCTCTCCCTGTCTGGTGAGCACACGCGCCCTATAGCAAAAACCTCTTAAAAAACAAAAAACCAAAAAACAGTGACTCTCTACAGGCATAATTGTGGTTACACGCTTCTCATCTTTCAAGATATGATAATATGCCTTTATTTACTTCAAATCTACTAGATCATTTCTAAGACAATTTATCTTCTGAATCACCAACAAATACCTTTGGCCCATCTGTTATAAATTGTTCTGGAGAGTAAACTTTCAGACATGTAAATCATTAACAAAAAGATTCCCCAAGGTGTGTTGAAGTTAGAGTTACTATATTTATTGCAGGATATTTATTTCATTATTTACAATTAGATGCCAAGTTCAAAAAATTTCTGTTGACTAATCACATCATGACTAAAAACATCCAGAAAGCAAACTAATAATCCCAAAGCTATTGAAAATGGTTCTTAACTCAATTACATTTTAAAAAGTAACTTTAAAATTTTTAGTTTTCTTGTGACATTCTATACTTACCAATCCACAAATCTAATTTATGTCCAACCTTAACTTTCATATATCTTACATAGCAAATTATTTTCTTTAAAAAATTCTATCTTTCATTTTCTTGGAAAATTAACAGTGGTACTCTCAAAATTTCAGCTATTTATTATGATAATACAAAATTTTAAACAATGATCTGACTGGATTGATAAAAGCTTATCAAAAGAAAGGACAATGTCTGACTACCTGGTCATTTCTTCTTCCAGGGAGAACGATGTTGTGTTGTTGTGCGCTGTATTGGGGGTACCACCTTCATCTAGATGACCTCAAAACAAACACATGAATTTATGTCTCTTTGGTCTCCATTGACAACAAGAACATGAAAATAAATCAAATTCATTGCACTTGATAAATCAAACAAAAATACATCAAGTTCATTTTAATCATGGGTAGCATATTACTGATTGGAACACATCTTTGATAACTTGATGTGCACAAACACAAAAACAAAATTCGATTATGTTTATTTGCAAGAACAAACCACACATTTAGTAAGAAGCAATTTTTCAGTAGAAATATTGGGGTCTTTGAGTTTAACACCGTATGAACACCGCTTCGAAGATGCCGTAAGAGAAAATTCTCTCCTATCATCACTGTCCTGGTAAATATCAATGGATACCTGAGACTTAAGTACATATTTAAAAGCTAATGCTGCAGTTACCCAGTTTTTGTTTTTGTTTTAAAATATCAAATACAGGGACCAGCAGATGGCATAATAGTTACTTCACTGGACTCCCACATAGTTGACTGTGCAGATTAAAACTCACACCAGGTACGTGTATGTGCATGCCCAAAATCCTGAGGAGAATGGAGAAGGGATTGCAGCATGGCCCCCCCGCCGTGGGAGTGATTTTTTGCTTTCTGTCTCTCTGTCTCTCTCTGGTGAGTGCACACAACCTATAGAAAAAATCTCTTTAAAAATAAAAAAACTTTTAAAAACTTGCTCCTTTATGTGAACAGCTCTATCGTATGCATAGCTTCAGTCATCAGAAACCAATGCTTGTACCAAGTTCCTTCCATTTATGCTTCAGCAGTGTTAAAGTGTACCAATCAGAATAAAAATGCGGGATTCAAGTCTTTTGATACAATCTCTGCTGACTAAAGAATCAAATAAATACATCATATTCTTTAGATCCCCTTCTAATCAATATTTCTTTTCCTCAAATAAACTTTCATTCATTTAAAGCTCTCTGGCCCACAGATTTTTTTCCTCTTCTGAGTCTCCCACAAAATTCCTTTCTTGAGACTTGCTTTAACAAAATCAAGTGTTTCTTTCTTATTCTTTTTTTTTAAACATTTGTTTATTTATCTATTCATCTGTTGTGATTTATTGGGTTGCCAGGCCTAATACTTGAACTGGATGGAGTTAGCTATGTGGGAGTCCAGCGCTTCAGCCACCACACCATCTGCTGGCTTCAGTCTGAAATGTCCCTAGGCATGATATAGATCAGTAACTTTTTAATTGGAAGACTCTCAAAGAGCTACTTTACTTTCAAGACTCTCAAAGAGCTACTACCCAAACCAAAGATGAATATTTGAATAGTATTCAAAAGCTCATCTTGTATTTTGGTGGGAAAAGCCAAAACTCTCTGAGATATATAACAATATCAGCTACATTATTAGTATAGGAAAGCCAAACATCTAAGGATATTGCATTAATTGTAATAAAATACTTGCTTTAGACCTTTTGCTATTTTCTTATCTTCTGGCTTCTTGAACCTCATCCTCCTGGACCTTCCATCATTCTTGTTCCTCTACCTTAGTCTCACTGGCTCCTCATCTTCTCCCTGTCCACACACTGCTACTTTCCAGAATTCCAGGCACACTCGCATGGTGATCTCCGCCACTTCCATAACTTCAGTGACTCCCAAATCTGTATCCGGAGCTATTCAAATCTCCTTCCTCAAATCTCCTCTGGTTCAGGGCTCCATCATTTCTTTTCATTTTTTAAAAAAATCTTTTACATTTATTTGGCAGAACATATATTTGATGGAAATTGTTGATATTTTATGATATTACTCTTCTTAAAAGTCATTTTACATTTAAAAAATTGTCACATATTAGAAACAAAAACAATGTAGTTGCAGTTATTGATCATTTCATTCAACGTAAACTTCTTGGTACTTTAGATAATAACAGATCATGTATATATATATATATGTATATATGTTTAGTATATACACACCATGACTTTTACATCCATTTAGCATCAAGACAGAAGCAGGATTTATAGTTGTTGCTTTATTTCTCTTGATTAAACCTGAAAGTTTAATACTAAATTATAATACATGATACATTATATGACTATCCGACGTACCCAGATGCCATAAGGATAATTTGATATTTTAAATAACTTTAAAATTTAAATTAAAATTTGAGAATTCTGCAGAATAAATGCTTTTCTTTTTTATGTCCTATCTGTATACCTGTGCTTTACTTTTTTTAATATATTTTTATTTTTAATTAATTAACTTACATTCATTCCTTGAGCATCATCACAGCATACAAAATGCAATTTCCCATCCAGAATATACTGCATAGTGGCTTAATCATACATGTTATCATCAATAATTTTCCATATCTAGTTTCATTATACATATGTGTGTGTGTGTATAATTTCCCCTTATTTCTCACCCTCTGCCATTTCTCATCCTCCTCCCACACTATTTCAGGTGTCTACAATTGATTTCCATTCCTTTTCCCCCCACCTTTCATTGATTCACAGAATATTTTAAATAATCTAACTACTTTCAATAGTGAGTTTAGCTGGTATTTACATATCTGTGAATAGATGTTTGACTTTAGGCATGAAACTCTGAGTAGAATGAATATACTGTAAAGTAGCACCTAGCTGATGCTACATAGCTTACTATGGTCATTAAGTAAGTATTTTAAATACATTTTTTTAATTTCAAGAAAAGCAGTTTTAGCTTTAATAAATCAAAGAAATGCTAAGGAACTTTGCTTAAAACTTAAAGCCAGGAAATGGGTTGGGATTCTGTTCAAATAGTAGGTACATGAACCTATCGGCAGCTCAAGACAGGACAAAAATCTTTAAAACCAGAAAACAAAGCCTAGAAGAAAATCAGCAATGTTTTAGTCAAAAGTCATGAAATGCTATTTCACCAGTTTATTCTCATGTACTTTATCTTCTGCTGTGGTTCCATCTTCTGGATTAAATTCTGGGATATGATATTCAACTCCAGACTTGTCCCTACGATTAAGTTGGCCATTTTCATAGTTTTTGAACTCTTATTTCTGTGTGACTGTATTTAATTTTCCTGGTACAGCACTCCCTTGAGAACTTCTTGGAGATCTAGTCTGGTGTTGGTAAATTCTTTCAGGTTTTGTTTATTTGAGAATGTTCTTGTCTCTTCTTCCCGTATGAAGGATAATCTCGCCGGATACAGTATTCTTGGTTGAAATTGCTTTTCCCTTAACACTTTGAATATATTTTCCCATTCTTTCCTCACTCGCATTGTTTCCAATGAGAGGTCCACTGTTAGCCTGATGGGATATCTTTTGTAGATAACTTGATGTTCCTCTCTTGCCAATCTTAGTATCTTGTCTTTGTCTGTGGTTTAGTCAATCTGGCTATAATGTGTCTTGGAGAAGATCTTCTTGGTTGATTCTATTTGTGGTCCTTTGTATTTCTTGGGAATGGAGCTTTGAATGCCTCTCCAGGTTTGGAAAGCTTTCTTGCAGAATTTCATGGAATAGATTATCAATGCCCTTATGAGTTTCTTTGCCTTCTGGGATACCCATTATCCAGATGTTCGGACATTTGATGGTATCTAGTAATTCTCATATATTATTCTCATTTTGGGGGGAAAATTTTCTCAGTCTTCATGGTGGATTTTTCTAGACCAGCAATTCTATCTGAGAAGCCCCAGCAGAAAATCTTCATTTTCAGTCAAGGAAAGCAATATTTCACAGCTCTAGTTCAGTATCCATCTCCATCATTTCTTACATCTGCATTAACAATGTTCTCCTAACTGGCCTTTTTATTCCATTCAGAGCTTCGTATTGTCACCAGATTTTCTCTTTGGAAGCAAAAATAAAATCCTATCACTTCTATTAATAACCTCTGATGACATCCCACAGCAGAAAGTCCAAGATCTATAACACGTCATATGAGCACCTTTGCAGTCTTGCTACAACACACGTGCCAGTATAAAACATTTCAAATATCAAACAATAATTTCTGAATATTTTCTTTCTGACCACACCTCCTTCCCATTCTAGTTGGGTAGGACAGGTGCAGTCACTGTCTTGAGAAAGTGCTGTGACAGCATCAAACAACAGCAACAAAACACAGTGTGTACATTTCTTCCTGGCTTTTGTGTTCCCAAAGACTATGCCCTTATAGGTTGGAGAGGAAACAGCATGACAAACTATTTTGTTTAAATTTCTTGAGATTCAGTTCTACCCTTTCTCACTAAAAAATGTCTTCTGCACGCTGAGAGGAATGCAGGTGAAAACTGATGACAGCACGGGCATTAGAGGGTCCAGGGCAAAGGAGCCCTGTCTCCTGCTACCTAGCAGACCCTCAGGTGAGCCTTGCAACGGAATGATTACACAGCGGGCTGAGGAGAGGGCTTCAGGATGGTTCTCAGAGTCTCCTTGGACTTATAAATACACATGGAGCAGAATGATCCCAATGGTTCTAAGAGAGGGGACCAAGAGAGCTAGACAGAATGCCTCATACCCTGAAATACCAAAATTGGGTTTCTGCCACATCAGCTAGGGTCTCAAAATGGAAATAATGTTGTTGTAGAAAATACAAATTATGGGTTTTAGAACCTTGGCTTCTAGAGTAATATCTATAATACAAGGGGACTACAAAAAAGTTCATGGAAAAATAGAATTAACATGTGAGTTTATTTTGATATAAGATATGTGAAATAGATGCCAGCAGTTAGTATAATGGCTATGTCGCTGAACCCCTATGTAGCCGACTGCAGTTCGAGTCCTGGACCCGGTGGCTTAAACTCACGCTGGGCGTGTGTGTGGGTGCCCAAGATCCCAAGAGGATGGAGGAAAAGGGATTGTGGTGTGGCCATCCCCTCGGGGGGTGATTTCTCGCTTTCTATCTCTCTCCAAAAAAATAAATAAATAAAATAAAAAGAAATGTGAAATCCATGCTTAATTTTTAATGCACATTTTTTGTGAACTTTTTGATGACTTTTCACATGTACAACACTTTTCTAGCCTCAACTCATGCTGCACCCTCACCCCCACCTTTAGCAACACACCTCATTTTTG